AGATAATGCTAGATAAAAAATTAGGACATTTCTTACTCTTTCCAGGATAAAAATATGAGTCATGCGGCGCACTTACATTATTATTTCTGAATCAAACACACATTTCGATACACTCGAAGTATATTCTTTCGATATATTTTTCGTATAGACGCGAAAGTATTTTTCAACGCATTTTCGAGTGCGTTGAGGCTCGTTGAGGCGCAAAAGTGACAGCCGCGTGATCCGCGCGAAACATTAAGTTTATATCCGTTAATCGAGTAGAAAAGCGTTTCATACGAAGTAGTAGTAAGGCCCTTACACGTGTCATATTACGAAATAAGTGAATAAGTGTTTACAAGCCTGTAAATATGTACATAATTTTCATCGTTATTAAAATTATTCACTATTATAACATCGTCGTAAGTAACGTTGGTCCTTTATATGTTACAAAAATTCCCGCCTTAATTATTATAAAAATATTAATTTTCTTTTATTATAATAATTATAAAAATACTTTTTTATTATAATTATCATAGAAATATTTTATTTCCTCTAATTAAATGTATCTCCTTGTACCATAGAAAGAGAAAGAGAAAAAGAGAAAGAGAACATTCCTGTTCTATATTTTATTATATATTATCTGTCATGGATAAAATAACAATACATAATCTTGAGAAAAATAAAAAAGGATTCATCCTTTTTCTTCATAAGGGATATTTTTCTGCAAACAAATCTAAACGCAAAGCCTAAAATCGAATTAAGCCGATCAGACTAGAGATTGAGATTGAAATTTATTCAAGGAGAATAAATTTAATTAAATAAAAGAATCCTATATTCGGTCCTACATGTGGTATACAGAATCAGAATGTTATAAATTCACAAAGAATTATGCATTTAAGTACTAAGATCCGCTTTGACCGAATATAGGATTCCTCTTTTTTAAAATATTATTTAAAAATAAAAATGTTAACTTTACTTAGAAAGGACTCACACAAACCTTATGAAAATTGAAGGTGGAATTGATTGAAAATGTGATACATTGCAGACGTCCTTGTCGTCCTGATAAAAAAATTTCCATAGGCATGATTCCTTACAATGAACCGTTTCACTTTTACAAGACGTCACTTTTCAAAACAGGCTGATACTACAATATCTTATTTTCAAAAAATCTGTCGCTCCAATTGCTTATTTTAGCACGTGAAAATGTACCTAAATAAGCGACTGAAGCATTAGATCTGTCACTCTAAATTCCAACGGTTGAAATTTTGCAATTTCAACAGTTTTAACTACGTTGATCGAAGCTTCGATACGCGCGAAGGACACACACAAGTACGATCAAACTCCAGCGAAAATATTAACGATGTTAATTCCAGAAAATGCGCCTACCTGGCAATGATCGTGGTAGCTACGTTGTTCGCTGTGGAAAGGATTCGATGGCGGATGTCCTCTGAATCCCGCCGATTTCAATCTGAGACGATATCGTCGCACAGCACACCCTCGTTCGACACGCGCGACGCACATATTTCGCGCGTTTCGATTCGGAAAAAATACTCGCGAGGCAACATCTTGATCGGACGCGCAATCCGCTTCTGGAAATCGATCGCGATCGCAGACTATTAAACGCGCAGACGCGATTTCTACTTCACGATCGTTCGCAATAATGCACTCGCCATCCGATGCGACGCGAATTTGAAAAAACAAAAGAAGCGCGAAATCGCCTCTCAAAGCGCCGCGTTGCGGCGGACGAGAGAGGTATTGGCTGTGCTCGGTGATTCTTTAATATGATTGGCTGCGTTCAGCAGAACGTTTATTTTGCAACTGTTGAAAGTTTTCTTTGCATTGATTGGATTATACTTTTAGATCTAAAGTATGATATGAGTAGAATGACCTTATCTTAACAGACAATCATAAAACGGTTGCAAAACTATTGTGTTCTGTTGAACGCAGGGAGCCATTGATTCTTTCCTATATAAGAAAACGTATCAATCAAAATTCTTCGTGTTTCCTTCCTTTCTATGAAATGGAGATCTCTGATTGGTTGAATTTTTTGTGCCTCACGTGTTATGTTACTCTGATTTATTTAGGACTCTAGTTAACGATAGATCGATAATCATCGATAAAACATTTAGAGATTCCCGTTGTAGATCTGCTTACCGAGTAATTAAACATGATTGGTTGAATCCACAGGTAAGAACCAATCGTGCTCATTCGCTCGGCAAGCAGTGAATGTTGGACACAGCCTAGTTTGAGCGGCTCGTGAAAATGTACCTTATCGCTTACCGCATATTGCGCTACATGTGATCGCATCCTAATCACGTCCAGTATGCAGTAGATGGCGCGCAGTAAGCAAAATCTTTTTCTGCCTTTCCGTTTTTCGACGTATTTGCAGCGGGTATGTATCACACGGGAGAATCCGGATTTTTCGTAATAATCATTAATGACGCAAATGTAATGTAATAACTGATTAATTTTTGATGATTTTCTCGAGTGCGAAAGTGCAATATTTTTAGGCATGAGGTATAAGTGAAAACATTTATGATTGGAGTGATTCGATTGCTGTTGTTTCAGTGATACGCTAAACAGAACTCAAAATGTCTATCCGACCGGTTTATCGACCCAAAATCGTGAAAAAAAGAACGAAGAAGTTTATTAGGCATCAGAGTGATAGATATAATAAACTCAAGGTGAGTACCTTTTGTTTTATCAATTCTCCTTTTCAATCGAGTTAGCATGTTGTAAAGTTTGGTTATATTGCTTACACTCTTTGTATATTATAGCATTAATTTCTGCACACTGTTATTAAAACGTTACATATCTATGCATCTTAATTAAACTTTTATTCTCCGAGAGAAATTGATCTTTCGGATTAACTATAAAATAATTTAAAAGGTATATATACATATATATAAATAATGTCGCATACACTTTGCAGCGCAACTGGCGTAAACCAAAAGGTATCGATAATAGAGTTCGCAGGCGTTTTAAGGGCCAATACTTGATGCCTAGTATTGGTTATGGTAGCAACAAAAAAACGCGTCACATGTTACCAACTGGTTTCCGCAAGGTCCTTGTACATAACGTGAAGGTAACGTGTTACTTCAAAAAATCTTAAAACTCAATTAATTAAGACCTTATATATATAAAATGGTACTTTAGTTAATTACTAAATAATGCTTTTCTATTTGATGACACAATTCGACACAAATGTTCTATCATTGTTATTCATTGAATGTTAAGCAACAAAATGTGTCAACTTATATGGAAAGCATTCAAAATTTAGTGTTAACTCTCTTTTGTTATCATTATCAACTTTCTTTTCTTATGATATGGAAATACAAATATGAATATATATTTCCAAATATTTCAAAATTTTTCAGTTATTACAATTCAAAATATTTGTGTTTAATCTTTCAATCCTGCAAACATTGTAATATACATTAAATTTGAAGATATCTATTGCAATTATTCAATGATTATCCATTGATATCATCTGAGACATAATGTACATAATAATATTGAAAAAATTGTCAAAATTATTTAGTATGAATTATTTATTAAAATGCCCATGAATTGAATTAAAATTTTTTAAAATATAGTTTTAATAAAATCGGATCTGAAGAACGTTTTGCATTGTACAAATTAGAATTATTACACATAAACACATTTGTTGTCTGAACCTTCTACACAATCGTATATTCTATTTATGCATTTCTTGACAAAGTAAACAAAAAGACTTAATTCTTTACAGGAACTTGAAGTTTTAATGATGCAAAATCGCAAGTTTTGTGCAGAGATTGCACATGCTGTTAGCAGTAAGAAGAGGAAACTCATTGTCGAGCGTGCTCAACAACTTTCGATACGTGTAACAAATGCCAGTGCACGCTTACGTTCGGAAGAGAACGAGTAAGCATTACTTTTCGTGTATTTTGGCAATAAAATATTAAAAACTTATCTCTTGTGTCTAGTTTTCTTTCATTTCTAGTAATCTTCAGTTCTATGTAAATGTACAATATCATAATTTTTACTTGCAAATCGTATACAAAAATAATAAGTTTGTAGCATCGCAAAATTTGTTCTGGCGAAAAATTTACTATTATTAATCAATCTAATTACTAATTGATAGCGAACAATTTTACATAATGAGTATTCTGTAACTCTTAACGACTGTAACTGTTGTAACTGTAGCGTTATAGTGTCGTTAATGCAGCTTTTTTACCACATACAAAACCTGTGCAACGACACTATGATACAGGTGGCACGAGTAGCTTCAGGTCCAGGATGGTCGACTCGTGATCAGATCCGAATTCAATTTCATCTGTACTCCATATACGCGTTTCTCGCGTTTAGAGATTATCTAAACTCCATCTAACTTCTAATTAAATTATTAACCTATCTGATGTGGATAATCTGTTTAAGCCAAGTAGGAATGATTAACAACGAGAAAAACTTCCTCTCTTTTCATTGAGTTCAATAATCCTTATATTTCTTAAGAAGTTATTAATTTCTACATGTTTCCATTATTTTATATTTTTAATCTACATTATCCTGAAAAATTAGTTTTACATATCCTGGCGTTCCCTCGAGCGGTATCGCACAGAAGGGACAGATCGCGATATAGCCATTTGTGCCATGTGGAATGGCTACTTTCTCCCAATATCTGCAAGAGAAAAACAAACGATAAATAAAGAAAATGGGGAGAGACGAGAGTACATATTTGAAAGATTTGTAACATCTATATAACTTATTTTCAAAAGTGTGAACGATTAGGAACGCGCATTACTAACTTGACAGTTTTTTCTGTAGCCATGTGTCCACAGGGACTAAATGCATAAGTGGGCGGTCCGCAGTCTACGTAGAAGGCAGGCTCTATTCCCATAGACAGTTTTACTACCGTCCCTGCGACAAGGCACATGGGACACTTTCTCGTAACTTTATCCTTTTCCTGGCCCCAATCATGATGCCCTTGTACATGACCGCATTTAAGGTAAACGTATGGCTGCTGCTGCGTCGAATCCGAAGCTGCTTTACGTGGTATAACCAATGTGTTTAAGCCTACAGGACATTGTGGCCTGCCGGCATTTATAGCATCAACTAATTCCTCTAGATCTTGTTTTGTCTGAGAAAAAAATGTGCATTTAACAATATAAACTATGTATGATTTTATACATTTTTCTAAAGACGATGTAAATTACCGGAGACTTCGCGAGACCTTCGGCTGATCGCCAAAGTAAAGTGGCGCCACAGAGGTCAATCAGAGTACCATCTTGTAGAATATTGCTTTCGTCCTCTACGACGTTGCCTTTCTGTTGAGCGCTCCTACTTTCTCTGAGCGAGAAAACTCCGCCGCCTACACTAACTTCTCGCCAGAAACCACATTGCGCCTCGCCACCACAGAACTGACCCCGCGGATGCATTATCAGGACCCCGTTTGTCGTAAGTCCGTCAATCTCGCGATTCTCTTGCCATTTAGTTGCCTTTTCCTGTGTAAGAATTTATTAAGTTTTTTTTGCCAAAAGTATATCAGGTCATCCAGTTAATCGTAGATTGCGAATCTCACCCCTAAAAAAATGTTTCTTGAACTATCAAAGCCTGCAGCATAGATTCTAGCGATTCTGGGATCCAATCGATCTGCCAGGATCCGACAAGCGAACCTGCTGATAGTGCTTTGAGCGACACGTCCTTCATTAGCGAGACCACCATCACCACTGCCCGCACATGTGTCCATCACTACGAAATCGATAGGCGATTCGGACGAACGACCGATCTACGAATATATGACTTAAATATGTACATTGCTGCGCACAGCTTCATACAGGATCTGTCTCAAAAGTTTCCAAACTTATTTCTATAGACTATGTAACTAAAGCTATCTACTAAAATAGTATGGAATTATTTTCTAACTCTGTAAAGTTACACTTTTCTACGTTATATTATTTATTTGCAGTGACATTAAAAGTGGAAGTATGTTTTTGACACTTATCAAGAAAAATAATAGAACAAAGAGTAAACACGTAGTCTTAAAGCTTGATCTCTCATCCATCGCATTTGCCTGATATAGTTTTTTATGATAATTTTCTTTTTCCAAGTTGAAAATCAAGCTGAAAGGACAACATTTTAATAATTTCGGAAATTGTGAAGTACAGAAGATTTCGATGGAGGTCATTTCTCTCACATATTAAGAGAAATTTATTAGAGATATTTTTAAAAATTGTATACAATTGCTATAAAGACTGTATTACTTTAGTAAAATATATTTTGAATAATTAAAAATAAATAAAATTACAAAAATCTCATAAAAAATGAAATTTTTTAATAAAATTTAGAAACTTTGTAATAGAGAGTATGTATCGTGGACATACATACTGTGGGTATAATAACTCTGTAGTCCACAAGATATTTCGGGCTTACCTGAAACATATCCGTTTTTTCATCTTCTGTATATTCGACAATAACAGCCTGTGTTCTGGAAAGTGTGTACGAAATCGAGTGCTGTTTCGTGTTGAGGATAGCTTGCGAACTATGGGGCGTTTTAACGATGTAATGCTTGCTACGCTTAACACCATTTGGCACGGGTCTTTTGTATAATACGAATTTACTTCTCCTTCTTCCTCTATCACCAGGTGGAAGGTAACCATTGTACCTGCGAAAGTCGTTAGAAAGATTCATTAGTCATTAACCTTCTGTTCTTTTTACATTATCTATTTTATTTGCTGGGAATCCTTACCCAAGTATAACTAGTTCACCGTATTTCACTAATTGTTTGGGCTTTTCATGATGATAACTGTGAGATCGGTGTGGATTGCCATGTGAATGGCTGTGACTGTGTATATTGCGTGGACTGTGAGGTGCACCGACTGTCTCACCTTCTTCCACGAGCAATGGGCTCTCGCTACTACCGCCGTCGGATCTAATGTAAAATATACGGTATAATGAACTGTTCGTATGTATACGTAAAGTGATGTGCTACTACTATTTTTCTTTAAAGATTCTTGACGATGAAACAGATTCTCTGATGAATTTGGAACAATCTCTTTCTTCTAACGAAACTTCAGCAAGATACGTTGTGATATTTGATTACAAATATTTTTCAATATTAAATTTCGATAATTAAACGTTAATTAGATTTCTATCAAATTAAAATTAGTTCAGAAATAAATTTTATCTCCTATTTGCAGTTTTGCAAACTTAATCAAGACATTTAATAACTTCACAAGTATTTCTCTCTCTTATTGAAGTAATTACTATAATTTCTGTTTTTATTTGGATTTTTAATACTTGTGGCTAAATAATGATAGTGGCATATCATCTCTTATAGAATAATGTGACAAACAACTAAGTAACGTACATACATACGTTAATTTTTTGTAAAACAATCAATTTAAAGAAGAATCAATTATACAGTGAGTATTATAAATTTTATTTATTAAGCCCGTAAAGCAATGATAATTCTCATTTCATTAAAATTTTTGCAGGAAAGAAAAATAAATCCTCATAGAAACAATGCAGTCATAATAGCCCTAGTTAGGAGATCATAAGAGTAAAATGGAGGATGAATATATAATATAATATAGCAATTACATGTTGCATTACAGTACATGTTGTGTTAAAACTGCACAAATTATTCTCATTCCCTGAATGTTTCATTAATCTTGCGTAATTATAGCTTCCACCAAGGAAAAGGAGATTTCATTGGAGATTAAAATGTGGGATTAATATGTTAATAACTATGAAAACGTCGAACAGAAGGATGTCTGTAACTGGAAATAGTTTCTGATCCCAAAAGCAAAAAGATATCAGATATACCTATAACTGTACAGCAAAGTAATTTAAGTATTTGATATCGAGCGAGATGACTTAATGTTGTTAATATATATTTGTATCAAGACCAGTTAATTCGTCAAACGAACGAATTTGACACACTCTCTTCAATATTTTGCATTGTTTATTAAAGATAATAACGAGACAATTCCGACTGTCAATTTGCAAGTTGAAGGAAGATACATCACCATGTACAGGCGATCTGTCTCTTGAACTTTCTCTACGAAGTAATTGTTTACAAAAGCGCGCTTTATTTTCGTTTTCACATAAACGTTACGGAAACACTGCGTGTTTCTTATACACGGTGCTTTCTATAAGAAAATCCAAATTACATTTGAACACAAGCCGTACGTGATAGAGAAGATAGATGGTTTTGTGGCTTACATTACGTAATGTGTAAACCGTAGGCTTACTTACCGCGAAGGATATGGAATGCGTTTAGTTACTGGCATCCTCCTTTCAGTGGGATTTATAGATTACTACTTCCACATGGTACTTGAAAGGGTACTTGGTAAGGAGACGGGCAGTCTTAAGGGTCTTCACGCGGTTGCAGACAAATCTGAGCAATTGCATTTGCACGTGGCAAGCTGCGAATTGGTAATTATGATCTGCAATGAGAAACATTCAATATAAAGATCATAATTAACTGAGGACTCTTTCTATCTGTTCGCAGGGTGAGTTGCCGACGTAACTTTTTGCGTAATCAAATTTTCCATGTCTGTGAAAGTGCGCACGTAGTCGCCCGTCTTTGCTTCGTAATAGCTATTGTTAACAAAGAGGACATTTTGCTTTCAATTCTTTTAACTCTTGCGCGATATATTGTTATTCCTATAATTGTAATGCCAGATATGCTTCAACACAAATGGGTATGGTCTAGAAATCAAATTAACTTAGCATGTGTATCGAAAATTCTTTGAGTCTGTCGTTTTAAATTTGTCTGATGGTTATTTCTAAATAGATCTTTCATCAATTGTGTACGGATGTTCCTACCGAATTCATCCTCAAATTTTCTCTCTAGACACCTACACATAAATGGGCTATTACGACTGCTGTTAATTCAGTTGTATACGTTTATACGCATTATGAAAATGCTACGCAATACCATACATATCTTTATTTAAAATAAGTAATAATTTATGAAATTAAAAATGTCAAGCTTCTCACACATACACCTATTTACCAGCATGCTGTTAAAAATATACATTAAAAAGCCCGTACAATAATTTCCTTCGACGGATCTAAGCCACATTAATTGGAATAATGAGGAATTGCAAAACATCAACTCTTTTGCAACAACAATACAAATTTGTCAACAAGATTTTTTTAGAAATTCCATTAATCCGGGAATAGGTCTGGGGTGATTTTTATATCTTAACAACAAAAAAATAAAACTCAATTACAACAGTTTTCCTTATTTTTTCCAGAAAATATTCAGTAAATAAGTATACATAATAATCAAAAATACTAATAAATTACAACGAATTAATAATACGATATGTAGTTAAAGTGACTCTTAATTGGAATATACAGTACAGGCAATAGGAATAGGGAAGAACAAATTTCAACTTATCAGAAACCGTATATTCTAGTGTACTTACACTTTAACGACAGTTTGTTACATTGCCGTTTTGCGTAGCTTTTTTATTGTATGTAATACCTATGACGATAATGCGATGTATGATGATAAAACAACAATGTAACGACGATGGCATTGCTGATAAGAGTTACAGAATCGGAATTATTAATACAGGTAATTATTAATACAAAATAAAATTAGAAGACTATTCTCAGATTAATTTTCAGTAATTATTTATAATAGGACCTTCTCTGAATTTTTATGTTTTTTTCTTGTAATCTTGATAAAAATCTTTGTTGCGACTCTAACAGTGATAATCAATTGGAAGAGGTCGAAAAATATGTAACCTACTCATTTTTTTAACTATTTATTTTCAATATAACTTTTCGAATCTTCCGACATTACATAATTATATATGGCTCTCTTAAAAAAGCTGATTTTAATCCTAAATATGACTAGTATACTACATGCGTATATATTAAATCTTCACTTAAAAACACAAATTCTCTGCTTTAAAGATATAAATTATTTTCTTATATAATTTTGTGTTCTTTGTGAAGCAGAGAATTTTTATTTTTAATGCAGAATTTTATATTTTTTAAAGCAGAGAATAATAAATATATTCAGTACAACGCTCTATCTTGCGTAGAGATCTGTGTACTAATTATATTTTCAGTTTCATTATTTTTAGTATATTTAGTATATTATAAATACATCCATTTGCATGGATGCAAAGATGTAATAGATAAATTCAATACACACTTTTAAAGGCCATATATTATAATGTCCGTAAAAATTTATATTGGAAATAAACACCTTAAAAAATAGATAGATTACACATCTTCCGACCTTCTTCGATTGATTGTCACTGTTAGAGTCGCAACAAAGATTTTTATCAAGAGTGCAAAGAAAGAAATATTAAAATTCGGAAAAGGCTCTATTGTGAATAATTACCTTGATTCCATTACAATTAAAAGTTCACAAACATATAGCAATTTTATGGGAATTCTTCATTATTCCATGCGTTATTCACGACTGAGTTCGACAGAGTTTCAGAGATTAAGGTCACGCCGCAAGGTATAACTTTCAGTTTCAACAATAGCAAATAATTAGCACCCGTGTGCGAGTCCGCGCGTTGCATTTGCAAAGAATAAGTGTCAGCAGATATTCAAACTTCAAACTACGATCAAAACATGCTTATCGCGCGCAGGATAAATACACATCTTTCGCAACAACTTGAACAGTGCCGTACCACCACCACGTTACATCGTCGACGATGGCCTAAAAAGATTTATACATATTTCGCCCGTCACACCCGTGCAATCGAGAATAAAGCTACTGTCGTCGTTAACCGCGCTATCTACGATTTTTCACCCAAGACTTCCTCTCAATTCTTTCCCTGTTAGACAATGAAGATCGTTTTTTTTTCTTTTACTTCGAACCTCGTGAAATTCCCTTTCGTGCCGGAATTACGACGATTGCAAATCGAAGATTAGAATTTGATCAATTAAACAGTTTTAATCCGTTTTATTCCAAATTAATTGAATTCCTATTTTCAATAAATTAAAACTTACAATTTAACCGAGTAGATAATTCTTATTTTATTTTCCCGTTTCTTCTTGGATTCTGGTTCAACCGCAATTGAAAATTAGAATTTGATTATGACTTTTATTTTCACTTTAATCCGTAGAGTTTCACTCTACATCGTTTGACCCTTTTTATTAGAAATCAATCACAGAATCGAATGGATTTTAATTAAAATTATCTGATAACTGTTAGGTTCTAATCTTCAGTTTTGCAATCTTCAAATGCGTTTTCTAATACGAATTTTTAACGATTTGCGTTTTGCTCTTGTCAGCTTTCCTGTGCTTTCGAAACGGTGCGAATGCAAGCTGCTCTCACGGAAGCGGAGAAAGGCGAGGCGGTCATGAGGAAGAGGAATGTGCGAGTGTGCGTGACCAAGGAGGAGACAACTTTCAAAAATATGTAATATCGGACGGAACGACGTTTCTCGCGTCGACGAAAACGATGTCGGCCAGCAGACGCACCTCCTCGCGAGCGGCTTCTCAGAAGCGGTCGCGCAAGCAGACAAAAGCCAAGGTAGCCGGTCGAGGATGAAAAGAAAGGTGAAGCAATCTCGTCGATCTCGCGTAAACCGAAGTCGATATCACTAACACCAGCCCGCTTCTCCCGGAGATAACGTTACCGATTTCTGAGACGCGGCGCGGCGCGGCGCGACTCGGCAAGGTCGCGAACGTGTTTCTGTGATGTTTCGTAAATATCTGGCGCGCACACAAATGCCCCACGTCAGTGTGTATATAGATATATACGCATGTTTATACGCGCGTCAACGACGCAGCATTGGTTGCAGGACAGGGAAATCACACGGTGCACCGCGGCACGTCGATCGGTGTGACACGATTGTCCGTGCAGTACTATCGACCGTGCAGAGGAGGGAGGAGGGGGAGGGGGAGGGGAGGAGAGAAAATGCTTCCCTCCCCCC